CAAATACATACACAGGTGCATACACACAAATACATACACAGGTGCATACACACATACACAGATGCACACACACAGGTGTGTACACACACATACACAGGTGCATACACACAGGTGCATATGCACACAGGTGTGCTTATTTTAATGTTTCATTAGAAGTTCTTAACAGACATGTCATAAGACAGAAAAGCACCCAGAACCCTCAGGGCAGGAGCTCAGGGTTTCTGAAGGTTTCGTGCGGGGGCCGTGAGCTTGCCCAGGGACCGTAGCTTTTGTATCAGGTGTGTGCCTGTCTGCGTTCAGTTCTTACTGCCCTCATAACAATGACCTATTCACGGTTTCATAGTCGGCACCGATGAGAGTCTCATTGTGAGGAGGAAGGAAGGTGTTCAGAACTCTTCTTGTAACCTTCGAGAATCTGCAACCATGGAAACTGTGTAAAGAGCCTCGTCCCTCCCTCCTCTTGTGTTGACAGAGAGAACCGTGCCGTTTCCTGAGATGAGGTAGACAGGTTTTGAATCCGCTGGAGCCTGTCCTCTCAGGGCTTTCAAACAGGGAGGAAGCCGCACTCTGCAGACGGCACCTGTGGGGTGAGGACAGAATTCTGAGCCATCTTCATGTCCCACGGGTTTGCCTGTTACTAGCTATGCTGTTAGCTTTGCATGTTCAGGAAAACATTTTCTCACAAAGGGTAGGTTGCCTTCGTAAGCCTTTTACATCTAGGACTTCACAAAAGCCCTTGTGTTTGCCCATGGAAGACACATTTTTATTCTAAAACAAGGCATCGGAACACATGTGTGTTTAGTGAGAATGAAAAGTGAAGAGATCTGTATGAAAATTTTGCATAAAGGTCTTCTGGGCATTTTAGGAGCATTAGAGGTTGGTGGTACGATTGTGTCCCCACGGGAGAAGGACAGTGGAGATTCGGGTGCCGTGAGGGCCTTCATCGGCCCAGATGGCAGTGCTGTCTCGTCCGCGTAGGAGTGTGGGGGACACAGGCTGAAAACAGGCCTCACCGATTCCCTGCTGGCCTGTGGTGCACACACACCTCTGTGACGGCCGGTCCCTGCACACAGTCGTGTATACACAGCCGCATGGCGGCCCCGCCAGGTGTGGACGGCCCGTCCCTGCACACGGTAGTGGATAGAGAGCCCCGAGGCGGCCCCGCCGGGTGTGGACAGGACGTAGGGGTTCCAGGGAGGCAGTGGGGGCTGCATCTGGAGGGGGTTTGAGGGCTCCAGGTCAGAGTCTTTAAATCTCTGTGTTTGTGTGCACTTCAGGATGTTGAGGCTGTGTTCCGAAAGTCTTTTTTTTTTAAGACGAAGTCTCTCTCTTGTCCCCCAGGCTGGAGTGCCATGGCGGGATCTCGGCTCACGGCAACCTCCGCCTCCTGAGTTCAAGCGATTCTCCTGCCTCAGCCTCTGGAGTTACTGGGATGACGGGCGCCCGCCACCACGCCCAGCTAATTTTGTATTTTTAGTAGAGACGGGGTTTCACCGTGTTGGCCAGGCTGGTCTCGAACTCCCGACGTCAGGTGATCCGCCCACCTCGGCCTCCCAGAGTGCTGGGATGACAGGCGTGAGCCACTGTGCCCGGCCGTGTTCCAACAGCCTTGTACGGAAAGAGGAAACGTGGCAGTAAAGTCCGCAGGGGCGTGTGTCACCCGGCGTGGCCGGACGGGGCGTGTGGCCTGAGCGTGAGGATCGCACCTCCATCAGCTGGCTTCCTCCGCATTTCGGGTTTGATCTTTGACTTTGGGAGGGAGATCGCAGGAGGTTGGCTCCTAATCTGGTTCCCCCAGCTGCGTTTGGGAGGCCGTCCGTGTGTGGTGCTGGTCTGAACTCAAGGGGCGGCACCTCTGCCTGTGAGTTTGTGCCCCGCATCGTGGGGGACTGGGCGGCGCCTCTGCCCTGTGAGTTTGCGCCCCACATCGTGGGGGACTGGGCGGCGCCTCTGCCTGTGAGTCTGCGCCCTGCAACGTGGGGGACTGGGCGGCACCTCTGCCCTGTGCCCTGTGAGTTTGCGCCCCGCACGGTGGGGGACTGGGCGGCGCCGCTGCCTGTGAGTTTGCACCCCGCATCGTGGGGGACTGCCTCTGCCCTGTGCCCTGTGAGTTTGCGCCCCGCATGGTGGGGGACTGGGCGGCGCCGCTGCCTGTGAGTTTGCACCCCGCATCGTGGGGGACTGCCTCTGCCCTGTGCCCTGTGAGTTTGCGCCCCGCATTGTGGGGGACTGGGCGGCGCCTCTGCCCTGTGCCCTGTGAGTTTGCGCCCCGCATGGTGGGGGACTGGGCGGCGCCTCTGCCCTGTGAGTTTGCACCCCGCATGGTGGGGGACTGGGCGGCGCCTGTGCCCTGTGAGTTTGCGCCCCACATCGTGGGGGACTGGGCGCACTTGTTTAAATCGTCTCCTGGTGGTTTGAACACACTCCCTCTGGGGCTGACTTTAAGCTTCTGTTTGGAGACTTAGAGGGGGTCAGAGGCCGACTTCTGAATCCTCAAGGACAGTAGGGAAATGAGAAGGATGGAGGGATCCAGGGACGGCTGGAGAAGGGAAGGAGGTGGAAGAGAAGGACGTGGAGAGGGGCGTCCCCCTAAGAGGAGTGGGAAGGGGCGCTGAGGGTGGGGAGCTGTGGTGGGCGTGAGAGGTGGTGTGGAAGGTTGCAGGAGAAGAGGCCAGTCTGAGATGGCTGGAGACTGCTGGTTCCAAGTCTAGGACACTCGGGAAAAGGAAAACGATGGAGACAGGAAACAGATCGGGGGTTGCCGGGGTTAGGGGGAGGGAGGGGTGCGTCGGTGCCACACGACGTTTTTCGGGGCAGGGAGACTCCTCTGCATGACCCCACAGTGGTAGATCCGTGTCATTCTGCGTCTTTGCAGACTCAACAGTGTGTGCGGCAGCGGGAGAGCCCCGTGCACGCTGCTGCCTCGGGGTGATAATGACCCGTCCAGGGAGGTTCAGTGACTAACAGGCGCAGGCGGCCACGCAGGACGTTCCTGATCCGGGACCCGGGAGGCTTCTGCTGACAGCGTTCGGCCTGGCCGGGATGGGGCCAGTTTCTGACCGTCAGCCCGCAGGTGTCCTGTCCCCTTCCCGGTGGGAGGACGGTGCAGGCCCCAGAAGGTCAGCTCATCCTCAGTCAACATGGCCCGTCCCCCTTTTCCACCGCCCCTCTTTTCTTGTTCTGAATACGATCGCAAGCCAGTGCAGTCACCACAGTGGGCAGAGGCGGAGAAGACGAGATCCTGGGTGCCCATTGCAACTTAGCTGGATTCTAGAAACTCTTCAGGTTTGGGAAGGGGAGGAGATGCAGGCATGCCCTGATGCCGGGGCTCCCGGGCCCTGCCGTGCGTGTGTTTGTGGAGGCGCAGCTGCACCTGGCGCGCCCTGGGCTCTGGAGGGGCGAGCGGGAGCCGGCGCCGAGCCTGCAGCCAGCTCTGGTGTTGTCATGGGGCGGGGGGCACCTTATTTCTCGGGGGGAGCGCCTTCGACTGGGTCCCCAGGCTCTCCTCCCGGGGACCTGTTGGTGCGCGCCCCGCCCGGGCTCTCCTCCCGGGGACTTGGTGCGCGCCCCGCCCGGGCTCTCCTCCCGGGGACCTGTTGGTGCGCGCTCCGCCCGGGCTCTCCTCCCGGGGACCTGTTGGTGCACGCCCCGCCAGGGCTCTCCTCCCGGGGACCTGTTGGTGCGCGCTCCTCTCGGGGACCTGTTGGTGCGCGCTCCCCCCGGGCTCTCCTCCCGGGGACCTGTTGGTGCGCGCTCCAGGGCGAGCCACGTGACGGTGCAGAAAGCGCCCCCTGCCCTGCGGGACGGCCCAGCCCGGAGCGAACAGGGAGAGGAGAGGAGAGGACCGGGGGAGCGGAGGGCAGTGCAGGGAGCGGAGAAGGAGAAGAGGAGAGCAGCGCCGGGGGCGGCCGGGTCTGCACAGTCGCGGGTCGGGAGGGGCGGCCGCCGCCACCGCTGGCGCCATGAGCCCTCCTCAGCCTGAGGAATGCGCGCGGCGCGGGCCCCGGCCCCAGAGCGCCTGGCGGGCGACGCATGGAGCGCGCTGAGCCCGGGCCCCGCCTGCAGCGCCCCACCGGTCCCGGCCCGGCCCTGCCCCGAGAGCGCAGCGCCCGGCCCGGCCCGCGGAGAGCCCTGCGCGCCGACGGCATGCGGCTCCGCGAGCGCTCGCTGCGCCAGGACCCCGACCTGCGCCAGGAGCTGGCCTCGCTGGCCCGCGGCTGCGACTTCGTGCTGCCCTCGCGGTTCAAGAAGCGGCTGAAGGCCTTCCAGCAGGTCAGCCCCGCGCGCCCCGCGGCTGCCCCCACACCGGGCGAGGCCTCCGGGCCCCGCGCGGGCACCCCTCGCCGCTGCTGGCCGTGCACCCGCTGTCGCGTGGCGGGGCCCGAACGCCAGATTTTCAGCACCAGTTGCGGGCGCGGGGGACCCGCTCGGGCCGCACGCCGCCGAAAACCGGGTGCTGCTCCTTGGGAAGCGGTGCCAAGCTTGTTAGCAAACCCGGGCTTTGGAAAGAGCCCCCGCTTCTTTCCCGGGAGTTCTGGCTGTGAGTGCGCGCCTCGCTGGGATCCACCAAGGCAGGGGGGTGGGGGGTGAGAACCGTCAGTGCCTGGGAGGGTTCGCTGCAGGCAGATTTTTAATGTAAATAACACCTTGCACCGCTGGTAACAAACCCCGGGACACTCCTTCACCCTTTGTCAAGGCGTCCGGCGGGTGAAACCTCCCCGGCGTTACTGCGATACGCCGCATTCCTTCCCACTGGCTAACTGGTTTAAAAGAGTCGGTTGAGATATCGCTCACATTCCGTGCTATTTATGCAGCGTGGTTTTATTCAGTCACTTGCCGGCTTTGAAATTTGTTTTTAGTTTTATTTATTATTTATTTATGTTGAGACGCTGTCTCTGTTGCCCAGGCTGGAGCGCAGTGGCGCGATCTCAGCTCACTGCAACCTCCGCCTCCCGGGTTCGAGTGATTCTCCTGCCTCAGCCTCCCGAGTAGCTGGCATGACAGGCACCTGCCACCAGGCCCAGCTAGTTTTTGCGTTTCTGGTAGAGACGGGGTTTCACCATGTTGGCCAGGCTGGTCTTGAACTCTTGACCTCAGGTGATCCATCCACCTGGATCTGGGATTGGGGGCGTGAGCCTCCGCCCCAGCCGGCTTTGAAATTTAATCTCAGTTCTCATTAGCGCTCAGGGAAGTAACATTTGTGTCTGCACCCCGGGTATATTGTATAAGTTAGTTTTACGAGTACCATGTGGTTTAAACGTGGAAGAGTCTTCCCGGGATAGCCCCGATATAATTTGAGAACTTAGGGTTTGGCTGTGGCCGAATCTGACCCGAGTCTCATCCAGGCGGGCGCCTCGCACCCACGTGGTCCATCAGACCCACTTTTCACACTCGGTTCCAGGAGTCTGGGACTGGTGGCCTAAACCTCAAGTTGAACCGAAGTGTCCTGCTTGAAGGGGGAGGGAGACCCACTTCTTTCTGTTGATGTTTTAATTGAAATTTTTTCTCTCACATCACACCGACTTTGACATTCCTTCAGAGTTTCTGTCTGACCTCTGTCTTCCAGGTTTTGACATTTTGCCTGTAAGTGGATAAGGGTGAGGCTGGATTTATTTAAAATGCTCTTAACCCGCAGACCATAAGAGGGAGATCAGCCTCGTGCGGAATTTGCTTTAGACGGTGGGAGGTGTGTGTTTGCTGGTTGCAGAGTCAATTAGGTGATGAACTCGCCCGTGGCTGGGTGAAGCACCCCTTCTTCCCTGCAGCGGGGCCCTGGCTCTTCTGCGGGGGGGCTGGGGTGAGGACACACCTGTGCGTCCACCTCCAGGAGGCAGAGCCCATTCCCTGCAGCGGGGCCCTGGCTCTTCTGCGGGGGGCTGGGGTGACGATGCACCTGTGCGTCCACCTCCAGGAGGCAGAGCCCATTCCCCAAAGTCTGCATTGTTTTAGCAGGACTGTTTGTTTTTAACAAGTCACTTTTTGGGAAACCGTGAATTCCGTTTACAGAAGTTTACTTCATTTTACAGAGAATCGGTTTCCGTGTTTTCCGGGAGTGAAGACAGACATTGTGTGAAATGCGTGCTGTCTGCGGGGTGGTGGAGGAATCACGGGCTTATTTTGGGGTATTTGTGGGGGCAGTGCTGGGAGAGAAGTGGGCGTTTCCTGGCTGCGTTCACTCCCCACGTGAGTGTGGGCTCTGTCAGGTCCCCCCAGTTGGACACACCCTCAGGAGGGTTGTCAGGGAGCATCGTGTTGGAGCCGCTGGACGTATCTGGGGGCCGCGCCTCTGCCCTGGGACGCTGCAGGCTGGGCAGCACGGTGCTGTCTCAGGGGTCCCGTGACAGGCACAGCCTTCCGCGGCTAACGTAGACTCTGCAGCCACGAGCCTCTGGTGGGGGCTCCTGAGCTTGTTCTTCCGAATGTGCAGACGTCCCGCCTGGGCTTCTGTTCCTGCAAACCCCCTGGCGGATGTTCCCTGCCCGGCTGGTGAACCCAGGCTCCTCCTCCTCCCTGTCACTGCCCACTTCCCAGTCACCGGCATCCTTGCCAAACCAAACCAGGTTGGGGGGGGCGGGTCAGCGATCGCCGGCCTTGGGAGGGGAACAGCATGCATTCACGCCATGGGTTCCGGGAGGCGCCTGTGTGACGACAGCATGTTACACGTACTCTCACCGTGGGTCCGGGGAGCCCCGTGTGACGACAGCATGTTACACGTCCTCTCGCCGTGGGTCCGGGGAGCCCCGTGTGACGACAGCGTGTTACACGGCGTGGCATGTTCTGCGTGCTCACTGCAGTGGAGTCCCAGGGCCCATGTGGGCGCGACCATGTTACCGATCTCTGCATGGGTCAGAGGAGCCAGTATGTGGCTTGTTTCATGGCCTTGATATTCACAAATACTTTCCCACATTGGGTCAAAGAACCCATCAGCGGCGATGGCGTGTTGCGTACTTCTCTCTTCATAGTGATCCGAGGAGCCCGATGTGTGGCGGCTGGCGTGTTGCGGCTTTGCGTCTCTGTGGGACCGGCGCATTCTTGCCAGGCGTGGCATTGCCGGCTGCCTGGACAGAGCTCTTCAACGCTGCGGGAACTACTCTGCGCAAGCTGTGCCCCCAGGGTTCGCAGACCTTGTGTCCCACACCGGGCAGCAACAGGACAGCTCAGGCAGCCCGTTCCCGGCCAGGACAGCTGTGCTGCCGGCTGACCTCTGGCCTGTAGGGTAGCTCTCCGCTCCCCCACACTGAGTTCAACGCATAGGTGCTCTGTCACCTGTCACAGCTCGCCGTGGGTCCGGGGAGCCCCGTGTGACGACAGCGTGTTACACGGCACACGCTCTCACTGTAGGACCCAGCGTGTACCTGGAGCGTGGCCGTGCAGCTGCCTGGCCGAGCTCTTCTTGCTGGAGCTACTCTGCCTGCGCCTGTGCCCAGGGATTCTCGGGCCTTCTGTCCCCGGGCAACAGCAGGACAGCTCAGACCTTGTTCCCAGCCCAGGACAGCTGTGCTGCCGCAGCCCGGCCCTCCCTGCCTGGGGAGTGACTCTCCCGCTCCCCACACACTGGTTCAGCACGCAGATGCTCCTCGTCACCTGTCCTGGTCACACAGACACTGTCCAGCGTCCCCACGGGGTCCTTCGGGCGCAGGGAGTCCTTCGGCTGTGCGTTGCAGCCTCTACTGAGGGTGCCTTCCGCCGGCCCCTGCTGCTCCGGCACCTCCTCTGTGGCCTTGACCGTGGTGTCTGGTGCTGCTGGGGTTGGGGCGAGGGTCCTTCCTGCTGGTCACCGCGCCCGGCCTGCCGTGCGCACCCTCTGCACACGCGGGGGTCCCGCCCGCGGCTGGTGTCCCCAGAGGACGTGTGACAGTTGCACGTGGCCTGTGTTCTCTGGGGACTCACGTGCACCCATGAAGCACACGCAAAAACAGGCGGCATCGGTGTTAGGCTCAGCCTTTGTGTTTGCTCGTATACGGACGTGTTTTGCAAAACTGTGGGTGTGCTCTGGGAGGGCCACACATATCTGTGGCTTCTGGAATTGTGACGAGTCAGGGAGCTGCCGTCGCAGTGCCCTCAACAGAAATAGCTTGTCGGGAGGCAGGGCCTCGCCTTTATCAGTGTGCTCTGGGTGGCGGGCGCTTGACGAAGCACTTTGTAAAGTACACGTGTGGAGGAGGATTTGAAGTGGGTGACCGGGCCGCCCGAGGCCCCTCTGGTTTGTCTGAACTGTTTAACGAAGAGGCAGCTGACTTTAGAATTCTTCTTCCACACACCGACAGCTGTTTTTGCTCCTTCTGTGTTTACCGTGGATGCCTGGCCTCCCCGGCTACGGTCGGGGCAGGGCCGCAGTCCCTGTGAGTCCTTCAGAGTCCACTGAGACCTGCTGCTCGGCCCGAGAGGCGGCCAGTTCCCAAGTGCGCTGTGCGTGTTGAAAAGAATGTGTGCTCTGCAGCTGTGCTGGGGCCGAGTCTATTTCTGTCCGTGAGATTAAACTTGTAAATCTCCCGTGCCCGCATGGGTGGTTGTGCTGTTTGTTGTTCCGTCTCTCGTCTGTTGGTGCCCAGGGTGGGGGCCCCAGCTTCCCCCCGTCGGTGCCCAGGGTGGGGGTCCCGGCTTCCCCATGTCGGTGCCCAGGGTGGGGGTCCTGGCTTTCCCCCCATCAGTGCCCAGGGTGGGTGGTCCCGGCCTTCCCCGTGTTGTTGCCCAGGGCAGGGGTCCCGGCCTTCCCCGTGTCGGTGCCCAGGGTGGGGGTCCCGGCCTTCCCCGTGTCGGTGCCCAGGGTGGGGGCCCTGGCTTCCCCCATCGGTGCCCAGGGTGGGTGGTCCCGGCCTTCCCCATGTCGGTGCCCGGGGTGGGTGGTCCTGGCCATCCCTGTGTTGGTGCCCGGGGTGGGTGTTGTCTTCCTTTCTGGCGTGGTGAGTTTGTGCCCAGTGGTGTTTACTTGATCAGTGCCA